GAACCCGGCCTCGCGATGGGACCCGACCCCTCGGCGGGAGCGCTACCGCGCTCCCAAGCGGCGCACTCTCCAGTGCGCCGCCGGGCCAGCCCTAGTTCTTGGTTTTGATTATTAAAAAGACTGAATGCTCTTCACCAGTCTTTTAGCCATAGTTTCTCCATTGTGGAATTATTTTGATTGATTTCTTTTTTGACTGAATTTTCTTAATGCGTTGTTTTTTCAAGAAGGGCTCATGGGCTGCAAATTCTGCAGTGCTTTCATGTTTGAATTTCATATTCAAACAAATTTTTTCATGTGTAAAAGGAGAAGATACTGACCAGTTACCATTATTGAAAACAATTACTTAAGATACTTTAATCCACTGAGAGAGTAATCTAAATTAAGAATTCAGGAAGGAGAATTCTGGTGTGAAAGGACTGGCAGACTACAGCCGTGAACAAGAACAACCTGCCTCCTAAGGAGAATCGTAAGCTAGCAGATCGCACCCCATTCATTGGTCACAGAAATGATCCTCCAGTGATCTGGAAGGATTAAATGCCTGCCTTTACAATGACTCAAACAATTTCTTTATGAATGCTTTAAGAAATTTCTCTGGAAAACCTACATCAAACAGTCTAATTAAATATAATCACAACTCAATAAGGAAAACCTTCACATGCCTGAAAAAAAGATTGAAATGAAATCTTTTGATGAAGGACTGTTGGTAACTTATCTCTTCTTTTGGCTTTCCTATTTTTTATATTTTCCAAATCTTTAATAATCATATATAACATTTTTAATGAAAAAGTAAACTCTATATTTAAGAAGTTAACATCTTGAAGAAATTATTTTAAAAATATAAATTTTGAAGTTCTTTACCTCTAAGGTGGTCAGATCATGTTTATTGAGTGTTCAGCTCAGGACCTGTAGTACTTGAATATGGGCCTTAAGAGTCCTTCTAGGTATTTCCCTTAAACATTGTTTATTATTAATTGAATAATAGGTTGGTCTTAGAATTATTACTACTGTTTGGTGATTTACAAGTTACTTTAAAAGCTGAAAATTGGATCAGAATATACATTAATTACATTTTTTTCTAATTTAATATATATTACCAGAGTATTATAGCAGCATTATTAAACTTTTAAAATCAAATTTAGATCAGCTGTTATAAAGTCCTCCATGCAATTTGTATTGTTCCATTGATACTGTACGAGTGTACTTCGAAAAGTGTATGGAAAGATTCGTATTATCTTTTAATTCTGTTTTTTCTTGAACTTTTTGGAGTATCCTTGTATGCATTACTTGATATGCATTACTTATAAAAGGTGTACTCTGAAAGCACACTTAATCTGAACTAAAATGCTTCATAAAGTTATCAGCTGCTCTTTGGTTTATCATTTAGAAATTCTTATTATTACTGTGAACATTTAAAAGGATAGTTTATTTGAAAGTAATAAGGCTTGAAGTTTTCCTAGCTCACATTCTCACATATTTTTAGCTCCGTTTGTCATTTGATCTGAGTCTTGGGTCAATTAGCCATCTGTGTCAAATTGAGTAGAATGTTGACTATAGGTGGCAGCTCTGAGTGTAGTCAGTTAACATAGTGAATCAGTGAAACAGCTGCGTTACAGTGTTGTCTGTCAGCCTATTTTGAGATCCTCGTTTTATCTTAGTGTTCCCATTGTATTCGTACTTATTGTTACATAATTGCTGAATACACATTCAACTTTACATTTGTGGTGCTTTTATCCATTGTTTTTAATATTTAGAAATCTTATCTGGAACAAAACTCATCAAGCCTGCAGCTCTGGGTAAACCAGCTCCCAAAATTGAAAGTTGCCCGACTACTCCTAAGAAGTCTGAAGATCCTACAGAAATTGATTCTTGTGCTCAGTTTCAGACCGTAGGTATTAAATTTAAAATTAACATTCATAATATTTTTATGTTCCAAAATCATATTAAAACTAAATTATAAATAACAATATAATAAATACATGAAATTTATTTTCCTTCAAGTGATATTCTAATCATTCTTGTTGCATTTATTGATTTTCTTATACAGTAAAACATTATTACCCGTGTCATTTTAACATAAACAGTGGTCCTGAGTCAATGATGACCTCTGATGTATCTAGAAAAAACAAATGGAAAACAGTTCTTAGAGGTATACACCCTTAACCCAGCTCACACAATATTCCCACAGATAAATCTGCTAATGATGTGCTCACAATGCAAAATTACAAAACCCAAAGAAACAATCTGCCATCAGCAGGTGTGAGATGATTTACAGTTGGATTAGAACCTCAATAGAATTATTGGATAGAAACCGTAAAATAAGTAGACTTAAAATGATTAAATATACAAAATAAATGAGAAAATGTGAGAAAAGAGCAAAACAGATGAGGCAAATTTCAGAAAAAAATAAACAGAGCTCTGGAAGTGAAATGTAATCCTGGAAATTAACTAAGTGGAAGAATTCAACAGATGGTCATAAACTAAGGAAAAAATTAGTAAACTGAAAAGATAGATCTAAGGAAGTTAGAGTGAAACAGAGAAAAATAGAGAAATGGAAAATATCAGAAATACTAAGAAATATGAGATGCTATAATATATATTTAAATCTTTCTAGTAGGTAATGGGTGAGAATTTTTTAGGAGTGATAAAAAAAAGATGAATTCTCAACTTCAGTAGCACAGTGAGTCCTGCTCAGGACAAATACTAAAAATCCACATCTAGACCTATCATCATGAAGCAACCAGAGGGAGAGAAAACCTAAAAGAAATCAGAAAAATATGTATATATATTTGTTTAAGATAATAGTGAAAATTAATTGGGGATTTGTTTCTTTGTGCAGATACTGAAAGATGGAATGTAAATATACTTTATTTTCATTTACTTTGGTATTCTGAATTTAAATAGTTTTAGAACAAAAATTATTCATATTGGGATAAATCTGTTATAATATTCATATCAAGTATATTTGTGTACAGTCTAGTTTATACCTTAAAAATTAGTACCCATTAGTGTATTCTTAAAATGTCAGTTGGTTCTTTTTAATAAAGTCGTAATAACTTCGTATAGCATACATTATACGAAGTTATACGACATTCTTTTTAAAAACAAATTGGTTAGTTCATTGTGACCTTCAAAGAAATCAAAGTTTCAGCAAGAACTGCTACAGAAGGTCTAGACTCAGAATGTTATTGTGTAGCATTTCTGAGTTACCTCATTCACCAGAACCATCAGCATAAAACATCACTGTGCTGATTCAACTGGAGTTACATTACATTCCAGTGTGGACAATATCATAAGACAGTTTTGAGTCTAAACACCTTGAGTTTTCTATTATTCTTCCTCACTTCTCACTTCATCATTTCCTTCCTGAAATAAAACACTTTCTGCATTTTCTCAAAGTTAAGTAGCTTTGAAGAAACAAGCAAAAATCAAAGATGGTTACATTTTGGAAAAACAACTGATCCTGTCACTGGAGAAAAATTGAAGCAAATCCAAAAAGAAATACAAGAGCAAGAGACACTTCTTCAAGGATATCAACAGGTATGGCAATTCTTCAGTACATGGCCAGTTTGCTCTTGATCCTTTAATTATAAAAATAAGGCATATTAAAATATTTCTGTGCTAATTTAACAGGTAATGGGAGTTCTGGCAAATATGAGGAAGTAATAATTTGTACATTTTTCATGGGCAGGATTCAGGTGGCTAAAAGAGCATGGGTTCTGGATTCAAAGAGTCTGCCTTTGAGTCTTAGCTCTACCACCTGTTGTACAGCCTTAGACAAATTACTTTGATTCGCTAGGCCAGTTTCTTCATCTGTGAAATGGGGATAATAATAAAGAACCTCCCTCATAAGGTGATTAGGAAATTGAAAGTAAGACAGGACAAACCATCCTTTTAGCAAGTACACTCTTGGCCTGGCACACAATAAGCAATCAATGAATGTTGCCTATTACTATTTTTAATATCCAAGTCCCTTAGAGGCTATCCTGTTTTTCTTTAGTTTTCTATAATTCTTTTCAGTGGTAATACTTATTAGGTAGTTTTGCTATTATATTCAGAAATATGAACCTGAAATCAATTGCTAATGCTGTAAGGGTTAGAAAAGAAAATTTGAATTTAATGTGGAAAGATCTGTGTGTTCGTATAGAGACAGATGTTTGTAATGTATCCTGGAATTTCAGTGATGCTCCTTGACAGTCAGCCAGGACAGCTTTAGTGATCTGCAGCATAAGACTGTATCCTCATTCCCTGCCTCCCATGCCCGTTTTTCTTACTCCTTTCCCCTTCTCCTCTCTAATAGCATTCTTCTCTTTTGACGACTATAGCCTGAGCATTCAGCCTGCTAGTGACATGCATTGTCACCCAGGACATCCAGCGAAAACATTGCCAAGTCAGTGATTAAAACGTTTGCTCTGAATGAAGTGGACTGATTTTGCAGGACACACTGCCCTTGAGTTAGTGAGAAACATTCAAACCCTTTGCCTGCCAGTCTGATCTTGACATACAGAGCAGGGGTTTTAAGGAAATTTCACAGACCCATAAGTATGCCAACCACTCCCTCCCGCAAAGATAGTACAAAATTTATATATCTAAGTATTGGGGGCGGGGGCAGGAAGTGCATTAATTCCACAGGTATTTAAGCACAGACCATCTGCCAGGCACTATCTCAGACACTGTGAGACAGTCCATAGTTTTCATTAGATCCTCAAAAGCCCTTGGTTTTCATGAGATTCTTAAATTTAAAGGGGTAAGAAAGAGCATCTAAGCACAGATTGGTACCTTCTCTTCTCCCTCTGATCTCAACTGGTTTGAGTCATTCTTTAACTCAAATCCCATGGTGGACTGGGTCTAGTCTCTGCTCTGCCTTGTCCTGACAACTTTCAGAAGTACCCTGTCTTTAATTCCCCACTTAAAGTCAGTTTCAGATATAAACATGAACAGCACTGTGGCTACATCTAATTACCTCACCACTGGAAGCCAGCCTTCCAGAATCTTCCTCCAGCAGTGATTTTTTTTTTTTTTTCCTTTCTTAGACTAGTCACATTAAAGTCACAGAAGAGGATGTAAAGAGTCCCACTGGGCCTTGCCACCTCTGGTCCATGCAGTTGGGATGTAAGGATTCCTTCAGCCACTCTTCTGCTTACTCCTGTGAAGTGCAGTCAGTGCGTTATACTGACATTAGGGTCTTTGGCTTTGGGAATTTTTGCAACTTTTTTTTTTCAATTAAGCATTTAAGCATTTTGGAAAGAATTGTTTTAATGTTTTGCATACTCCAAAGCTGAAGAAATTTAAAACACCCTAGAAACTTTTAAAGTATTTATCTATTGTGAGCATATATGTTATATAAGTACTACTGACTTTAAACTAAAATGCAAGTTTCTGTTTTTAAAAGGAAAATGAAAGGTTGTATAATAAAGTGAAAGATCTTCAAGAACAAAACAAGAAAAATGAGGAGCGAATGTTTAAGGAAAACCAGAATTTATTCAATGAGTTAGCTTCCTTAAAGTAAGTCCTTTTGATATTCTTAAAACCAAATAGATTGTTTCTAAGCATTTTATCATTATATTAATAATACATTTATTTTTACTTAGAAATAGTAAAAACTTATTTTTACATTTATTTATTTTCATTTGTACACTGATTTTCAGTTTAATAACTTTTAGGTATTTAACATATAAAGGATTTTTCTTTGGGTACTAAATACTTTAGTATTCTCAGCATATTTATGTTGCGTTTGACATCAGTTTCAGGAAATCAAATATACTTATACAATATTCCTCTGATCAGTCATTAAGCCTGAGATGCTTAACCATTTCTTAAAGAACCATGTGATTAATAATAGTAAAGAAAATACCATGCAGAATCACTTACTGTCTTAGGTCAGGTTTCATAGAAGCAGAGCCTGGGACGGGGATCCCTTAGAGGTGATATACTGGAGGATAACCCTCAGGGGAGGAGAAGCAGGGTGGGGGAGGTCAGGGGCAGGAATGGAAGTAAGAATGTGGTCTTGGCTGGAGACTGGCTTCATGCTGCTCCCACCAGGAAGCTCTGAAGAGTAGATTGTACCACAGAGTTGGTCCTTGCTTGTTGTACCCTGGGAAGGGGGCAATGACCGCTGTTTTGCTGAGGGCATTTCTCCAGAGAGGGAGACACTGGTGAATTGTTACCAGCCAGCACTCACCATAGCAGGACAATGGAGAACCGACACCTATTTAGGAATCCTATTTCAGACTGGAAAATCTTCTGGATGTTACTACCTCCACCTTTAACATATTATGTGAAAAAGCCGAACCCACAAGTGTGGACAAGCTAGGGTACTCTTCTTTTAAGAAATGACTACTGTTTGTGCATCATTTCTCATAAGTGCCTAATCACTCAGATAGGACTGTTATCAGAAGTTTCTTTGACCATGAATGTCACCATATTTATTCATGTATTTCTTCAATTTTTTTTTGTTAGATAACCTACGGCATAAGAGGCAAGATGTAATAGGCAGGGCCACCAATAGCTCATTCTGATCTTTCATGCAAAATAGAAAAAGGAACACCCTGTAGCAGACAAAGCTAGAAGCTACACAGGGTGACAAGCAGAGGGCACCTTTGTGTAAACTTTTTTAAAAAATTGCTCCTTTGTCCTGGTAGGTGTAACCCTAGGCCAAGTATGGTAATCCGCACAATTCTGATACGTGAAAGTAGTTACGTCTGCTTTCTTTCCAACTGCTTCAGTAGTTTAAAATATCACATCTTATATTCTCTGGCTTCTAAAAGAGAAGATCTATTCTAAGATCCAAAACCCAAACTCTAAATTTACCTTTGCAATGAAATTCTTTAGCACATGGAGGTTAAATGACCTTATGTGGATTTCTAAACTTCTTGTATAATGTCTCTGGAGTAGACTGTGTTTGGTTTTGTTGGTTACTTTCCATGTGTAAGATTGGTAATTTGTGTTTGTCAGAAAGGGATCTAGCATGATGTGCAAGGAGTACAATAACTCCATAGGAAAAATGCAGCACATCTTTCTGGGCCACTGATTTTTGTCTCTAAAAATTGGGAAGAGAGGGCCGGCCCGGTGGCGCACTGGAGAGTGCGCCACTTGGGAGCGCGGCGGCGCTCCCGCCAAGGGTTCGGATCCCATGTGGAGACCGGTTCCCGCTCACTGGCTGAGCGCGGTGCGGGTGCAACACCGAGGGTTGCGATCCCGTTGCCGGTCAGTAAAAAAGACAAAAAGGAAAAAAAAATTGGGAAGAGATATTTTTATATTGTGAATAAACCAATAATCTTAGGATTTCAATTCTTTTAGAGTAAATACAAGCATTTCCCTTAAAGTATACCTCTATTTTAGCATGTTAGTATTTTAATCTTTAGATTAAATACAATTTTTGTCTTCAGTGACAGATATAGTTTATTCATTAGTTTTTAATTTTTAAGAATTTAATATTTTGTATTGAAAAGAGCACCTTGTAAAAAATATATATTTTTATCTGCAAAATAAATCAGAGAACAGATGCACAAAAGTCGTTTCCTGTCTCAAGTAGTCGAAGATTCAGAGCCCACCAGAAATCAGAGTTTTACAGACCTGTTAGCAGAACTACGGATGGCACAGGTAATTTGCATAAGGATTTTTAATTATTAGGAATAGTAAATATTATTGCAAAAATTCCCATATGTGTGAAAAATCTGTTTTCGTAATATATGAATAAGACCTATTTATAAAGTTCATACCATTTAAAAATTAAGAAGAAATATCTAAGATTAGCATTTAGTATACACATGACCTTAATATAGAGGAAATGATGTGATACTAATTTTAGATGACATCTTCTTTATAATTCATCCTCTCATCAGGCATTTATTACCTGGAGCCATATCAGAGGCATAACTTTAGGACACGTATGCCTTATTTCAAGCAAATTCCTCTTTGGAAAGTGCACAGCTTAAATAGAAAAATAGTTTGGAGACAATTGTTTACCTTGAAACATTAGTTGGCTTTTTACCTGTGTTCCAAAGTGGATTGTACACTTCTAGAAAGCAGGGACTGTATCTTACATGTATTTGTATCCCATATACCTAACACAAAGGTAAATGCAATGCTATTCCATACTTTTTTTCTTTATTTGTATTAAATTGTATTATAAAGAATATGGCCTAGAGTTTTCAAAAGCAGTAGTTATCTGTGGGAGAAGTTTTAGAATTTGGGGCAGGTTAATTCTATTTTAAACAGAAATATTACATGAATTTCATGATTTTTATCATCCCACACTAGGAACTACATGCTTATAGCATCTCCCAGTCATTGTAACAAGGAAAACTACTCTGCCCCATTCTCAAACATCTCCTATGAGGAACAGTTACTTCTCCCCTACCCTCCCATTAAGAATTGTAGCACTAAATTTAAAAGCTTTTTCAATCTGTTTGAATGATTATGTAAATTACAAAAATTCCAATTACATACCACTTTTTAATAAGAAATTTACTGTTTGATGTTATGTTACATAGAAATCTAATAAACATACTTTAGTTTAATAGTTGATGTTTAACAGGTTTTGTAGTATTAAATTCGGTTTCACATATGAATCTGTTGGGGAACTTTCTTTGAATGCATGTGTGTATGTATATATAGAATGACTAGATACATCAGTAGGCAGATAGAATGAAACAGTGAATGATAGGACATGCCCCTTTTGTCAGTGTAGCTCAAAAATTAGCAAGTTAAAATGAATTAATTTTGCCATATTTTACGAAGGCTTGGAAGAACATGATAAGGTTTTAAGCATAGCATTAGCTTCATTTGAAGGCTGTTGTTAGTGACCTTTTAGAAGTTCTGTTTTGAATGTATTTTTATGACAAATAGAAAACTTGAAAACTTTACTGCTAAAAACACCAAAGAAAACTGGATAAAATGTAAGAAACATCTGGTAAATGAATAACCAAGCTCTCAAGAAAGTAAGGGAAATCTCCAGGGGCCAAAAATAAGGAGGGATAAAAACCTCACAGTAAGCATTTGCCCCTCAGGCCACCAGTTCAATAACCACAAGGTCTGAGCTTTAACAGCAGAGTGCAAACAGAACACCTTCAAAGGACCACATCTTTCAGTAGAATAGTGGACTAGGAAAAAGTCCACCCACCTTCCTTTTAAAAGACTGAAATGTCAAGAAAGCTTTTCTGTCTTAACGTCTCTGGGTAAGGAGGCTAAAAAGGTGTCTTCATCTCAGTGCTCATGCTTTACTGGTTGTTCAATATAAATGTCACCTCTTCTGCCTTCATTTGTGTTTTAGTATTTGAATTAATGCTACCTGCAATGCTGAAACTAAAAAAATAAATAAATAACATAAACAGTGGTCCTGAGTCAATGATGACCTCTGATGTATCTAGAAAAAACAAATGGAAAACAGTTCTTAGAGGTATACACCCTTAACCCAGCTCACACAATATTCCCACAGATAAATCTGCTAATGATGTGCTCACAATGCAAAATTACAAAACCCAAAGAAACAATCTGCCATCAGCAGGTGTGAGATGATTTACAGTTGGATTAGAACCTCAATAGAATTATTGGATAGAAACCGTAAAATAAGTAGACTTAAAATGATTAAATATACAAAATAAATGAGAAAATGTGAGAAAAGAGCAAAACAGATGAGGCAAATTTCAGAAAAAAATAAACAGAGCTCTGGAAGTGAAATGTAATCCTGGAAATTAACTAAGTGGAAGAATTCAGCAGATGGTCATAAACTAAGGAAAAAATTAGTAAACTGAAAAGATAGATCTAAGGAAGTTAGAGTAAAAAAAAATAAACAGAGCTCTGGAAGTGAAATGTAATCCTGGAAATTAACTAAGTGGAAGAATTCAACAGATGGTCATAAACTAAGGAAAAAATTAGTAAACTGAAAAGATAGATCTAAGGAAGTTAGAGTGAAACAGAGAAAAATAGAGAAATGGAAAATATCAGAAATACTAAGAAATATGAGATGCTATAATATATATTTAAATCTTTCTAGTAGGTAATGGGTGAGAATTTTTTAGGAGTGATAAAAAAAAGATGAATTCTCAACTTCAGTAGCACAGTGAGTCCTGCTCAGGACAAATACTAAAAATCCACATCTAGACCTATCATCATGAAGCAACCAGAGGGAGAGAAAACCTAAAAGAAATCAGAAAAATATGTATATATATTTGTTTAAGATAATAGTGAAAATTAATTGGGGATTTGTTTCTTTGTGCAGATACTGAAAGATGGAATGTAAATATACTTTATTTTCATTTACTTTGGTATTCTGAATTTAAATAGTTTTAGAACAAAAATTATTCATATTGGGATAAATCTGTTATAATATTCATATCAAGTATATTTGTGTACAGTCTAGTTTATACCTTAAAAATTAGTACCCATTAGTGTATTCTTAAAATGTCAGTTGGTTCTTTTTAATAAAGTATGAATGGAAATATAATAAAAGCCAAGGTCCTGAGCCCTTTCCTTTTAGTATCCCAGGGTCAGGAGGAGAATGGGGCTGACTACAACTCACTGATTCAGTCAACCTTTACTGAACACATGCCATACATCAGGCACTCATCCAAGCATTGGAGATACAGTAGGTAAACAAGAAAAACACAAATCTCACTCACTAGGAACATATATTCTAGTGGGGAATACAGACAATAAGTAAACAGATAATTACAGCTAGAAGTAAATGCTGCGAAGAAAATAAAAATAGAAAATAAGGGGAGGTGAGGTAGAGATAAGGAAGCATTTAACAGTGTGGACAGGGAAGCTGTCTGAGAAAGAGGTGTTTGAGTTGACAGCTGAAGAGTAGTTGCATCCAGCCATGCAAGGATCAAGTCTTCCAGCCGGGGGAAGAGTAAATGCAGGAACTCAGAATCAGGAATGTGTTTGTAACCTTCCAGGAGCAGGAAGGGCCTCCCAAGGCAGAAGTGGGTAAGGACAAGGGTGGCAGAAGATAAGGTCTGAGAGGCAAGCAGAGAACTCCATGAGTGTCTGCACAATAACTTACAAGGGAGAGAAATTACTTGCCAGCCAAATACCCTGCAGTCCACCTGATTGGCATGGAGCATACTGGCTTTCTTGAAGGTGGGCAGTCTCTGTCCAAGGAAATATGCAAGCCTGGAGTGGACATCCATGCAAGCATAATTGCATGATTGAACTCAAGATGTTTAAAGTTCCTTAGAATTCTAAAATTTTGTAATTCTGTGAAGTAGACACTCCTAGGGAGCATTTCTAAATTGATTGAATTAAACAAAGTATTTGCAGAAAGATACTTGAGCATCCAAAAACTTGAAGATCAGTGTTCTCCTGAAAAGACATCTGTAGATCACATAGAAGATTAAACAAGAAATGATGCAAATCTGTGATTCAGCTGGAAACCAATATTATGCGGTGCTTTATAAATGCCCTTATTTTCTTTGTAGACTGAATTTTAAATTGTAAGGTAGTATAATACAGAATTTGTAAGAAATTGTAATTTTGAAGCTGAACTATATACCATGTGTACTGCTGTGAATCCAAGAATTTCTTCAGCAGTTAAGAGTTCAGTTCAATGTACATTGAGTACATGCCATGTGCTCAGTATCATAAGGTAAACAGGTAGTAATAAATCATAGTGTTGGTCCACTAATAAAGAGAAGAGGCATATACACAAATTAACGTTATATGAAACAGAAAGTAATAAATGCTACACAAGGTACAACAACTTTGCAGGAACACAGAAGAGGGGATTGTCAAGAATAGCTTAGCTTAATTTTGAACTAAGCTTTGAAGGGTAAGTATGATTTTGTCAAGCAGAGAAATAGGGCACAGCACTTTTGAACTATTGACTAAACTCTATTAATTAAAATAGGTGGTTTTCATTTGTGTTTCCATTAAGATATGTAATCTATTTTAGATTAGAGTGAGAATAAATGCAAGCTCCATATCACGACCTGTCAGGTCCCCATGTGGTCTGAACCCTGCTGAACCCTGCCTGCCTGTTCAACTTCATCTGTTACCACAATCCCCGAGTCACCCTCCTCCAGCCACACCAGAGCTCCTCTGATTCTCGAGCATGATAGGCTCATTCCGCTCGTCCCCTCGGCCTGCAGTCCTCTGACCTTTTTCCCACATCTCACTCCTTCTTCTTGTTCACATCTCTGCTCAGTCCCCATGTGGTCTGAACCCTGCTGAACCCTGCCTGCCTGTTCAACTTCATCTGTTACCACACTCCCCGAGTCACCCTCCTCCAGCCACACCAGAGCTCCTCTGATTCTCGAGCATGACAGGCTCATTCCGCTCGTCCCCTCGGCCTGCAGTCCTCTGACCTTTTTCCCACATCTCACTCCTTCTTCTTGTTCACATCTCTGCTCAAATATCTACTTTCCAGAAAGACATCTCCTGACCTCCTTATGTAATATGGCCACCAGTCCCACCCTTCTAGCTATTTGTTCCTATTTCTTCACTCTCTTTTCTTCATAACACTTGTCACTCTTATTTACTTATTTACTTTATTTATTAGCTTATCAACTATCTTCCTGCACTGGAGCATGAGCACCAGGAGAACAGGGACCTAGCTTATCTTGCTTGCTCTCCACATCTCCAACCTTATCCCACATCTGGGAAGTGCCTGGAACTTGGGAGGAGTTCAGTGTCTGTTGAGGAATTAATAAATGAATGAATGGACTAACGTGATACTTCCCCCCAGTGCTTTTCCGTTATGTTTTAAATATGTTTCTTAACATGTTCTTTATGTATTGACAGGTTGAGAAACTGAAAGCTGAATCTGGGAGTCCATCTATTCAGCAGAAGTTACGTTTAAAAGATAGAGCAGCTGATGCCAAAAGAATTCAGGATCTGGAGCGACAAGTATGTGTTAAGGGTAAATTTTCATTAAGGTATTTTATATACAGTGCATTTTTGTTTCCTGTCTTGTTTTAGGCATTCCCACAGAAGGAGTCAACCTGAAAATTCTTGTTTTAAAGTAACATTAATAAAAGTAATAACATAATTTTATATAGTCTACATCTTTATAAATAAAAGATTTTTTAGTCTAATGTGCTTCATTTATAAGATGGAAGACCTCCTGGTGAAAGGTCATTTTGTACCCCAGCTCCATTAGACATCCAGGAAGAAGGAAGCAGAATTTTGAAGCTCTGGCTATAGAGTTAGGATTCCTTCTCCTGACCAAAGATAATTGAGAGAGGAATAAGTAAGGGAGATCCTTGAGTTGGGAACATGTTGGTAAATGTTTGGAAATGTTACAAAACACCCTGTAGACAGAACATTCAGCTCTGCCAAAGAGGTGGCCATCATCTTGAGCCCTTGTTCACTGTTCAAGCTTAGAAATATTTATTTCATGATCAATGTGGCTGGAAGGCCTTTAGTAAAATCATAGAGTGAAGCTTTTTGGAATAAAGATTTTATTTATTGAAGTAGTTGTTTTGGGAGGCAGAATTATAATTAATTTTTTTCTTTTATTTTTAAAACTTGCTGTAATGTAACATTTATATTCATAACTACATATTAAAACAAAATGAAAAATTTTAACCTTGTTCATAAGGGAACATGATGCTGTAGTCATGTTCCCTTAAATACATGGCTATTATTCCATCACAAATCCAAAATTGTGAGGTCATCACTGGACTGAATATTATCCCAGTTTTATGAGAAGGAAAACTAAGCAAAAAATTAACTTTGTTACTTTTACAAACAGAACTTGTTCTTATATCAAAGGTATGAATTGGTAGTTTGGTTTAGGGGCCAAGAAAGGGACAGGACAAAGATGGTTTGAAGAGCTAGAAATATTCTCAAGAGAGTCTAATCTAAGATCGCTTGGATTTTCTTCAGTGCTTAGATTGGTCAATGTAGAAAAAGCCATGAAAAATTGGGAAAGAGAAAAAAAAAAAAAAGGAACCACTTCTCCATTAGATGATTTTATTTTAAAAGAAATAATGTATAACTGAGTATATTAGAGTAAAGAAATAAAGCATGCTTAAGAACAAAATTAAGACTTCAAATGGTAACCCATATCAGTTGACCAGAAATATACCATTTTTAAAAGTAATCTCTCTTTTATTAACACTTTCATTAAGTATTTATTGGGTTCTCATCTTATATCTCTTAAAAATATTATTCATCATTTAATAGTATTTTGTGTAGTTGGATTGCTGCATGTATGTTCCAGATCTTATTTATTCTGTTGGCATGAGCATTTCTATCCTAAAAACATTAAACCTTAATATATATTTTATAATCAAGGTATATTACAATATATTCAGAATTATTTTGGAGCCATATTCTGAAATAAATTATAAAATATCTCTTTTTCTAAACAGAACATAAATAAAAATGGGGTGAATTAGATACATGTTGTATTGACAATTTCAGATTGTGCACTTGTTCATGCTTTTATTTAGTGAAATATTTCATAGTTTGATTTTTAATAAAAGTTAAGAAAAATTTATTTTGCACACCTGTCACCCTGGTACCACTGACCAAAGAATAGTATTAAAAAGCAAAATTAAAGAAGATACAAATAAAATCTGATTTTTCCCCACAAATGTAATATATATGTCAAGATATCAAAATTAGATTGAACTTTTTTTAGTTTTTAAATGAATGCATTAACTGTAAATAGTAAATATGTTAAATTCATTTTTTTTAAATGTAGTTGTTTTTAATTTATGCAATATGTATATGTATGCATATACTTCCATATGCTTACAGATAACTCAAATAAATTTTTAATACCAGAGGAAACAAAACTTTGAAAAATTTCCAAGTAAAATAAATTATTAATATTTGTATCTGCATATCTCCCAATTTATGGTATATCAGTGAATGAGCCAGCAGTTATCACAAATGAAAATATTTATTTTTAACTTTGCAAATGATGTGATCCTTAAATACGTAATATGAATAATGTTCAGTCTATAAATAGGATTTTTAGCACCAGCAACCCATCTTGCCTTAGGAAAGGTAGTTTTTGAGATGAAAATCATAATAAAAGCCAGCATTTATTAAGTCCTCACTATATGCCAGGCACTCTGCTAAGCAATTACCAAAATGAAAGTCATTTAATCCTCACTTAATTGTGCCAACCCCATAAAACTGGTACCGTCATCCTCCCCATTTTACCTATGAGGCGAAAGAGATTTTTTTCCCCCTTCCCAGCCCTTTTTTTTTTAATCCCAAATATTTTAACATTTACTTGTACGTATTTATGGGTAGAGTATATTTCAATATATATACTGCACAATAGTTCACATAGGGGAAGCGGCATAGTTTTGTACCCATTAGTTGACACAAGGTCCTGAAGCTGGTGGCACAGTCTAAACAAACATGCCTTAGATTGTCTTTCAGGTGCTATTTTGTTGCTTGCTCATAGGCTAGAAAACTGTTTAACAAAGAATTTCGTGTTTTAATGTATGCTTTGCAAGGATATCTTAGCCATACTACCTTTAAAAAAGCAAATATACACACAGGCGTATATAATATCAAGCTGTAATTTCTGTGGACCCTGGTGCAGTTTTCTTATAGAATGACCATATAACATGTCATTGTTTTATAGACTAAATGAAAAGTACTTAGTCTTTTATGTATACTTCATTAAATGTCATCTAATCCTCCCTGCTTCCTGATTGAAGGAAGTCATTTTAAAATAAACTTTCTCTGGAGGTGGGATCTTTAGGGGAGGTTGAGGTAGGGGTGGAGATTGTTGCTGGCAGGTGCAGGTGCTTAGGAAGCTGTATGTTTACTGTAAAAAGTTTCCATATTCATGTGCATGGAAGTAATTTTTCAATCAGTAGATAGTAGAAGCACTATCGTGAGGGCGGTCTGTGGAAAAAAGAGGGGGAAGAGCTTTATAGTTAAGAAGAATGTAATACAATAGAAAGTCTGAAGATGTATTTCAAGTGAATGTAAGTAGATATCTATAAATTAACCAGTAAATTAGACTTTATACTATAGGGGTTTTTTAATCAGATAATCTAGGGATATAAAATTTGAAATTAATTCGTGCTTCAGTGCATTCGATTTAGTCTGAAGACATAAACATCTCTGAAATCTAAATATGACTGGTGTAGCATAATCTAAGTTTATACATTAAACTGCTTCCTTTTACATATACTTGTGATCTTACATATGTTCAAAAATATTTTAATAGGTTAAGGAAATGGAAGGAATTCTAAAGAGAAGATATCCCAATTCTTTACCCGCTTTAATATTGGCGGCGTCCGCAGCTGGTGATACAGGAGATAGAAATACAGTGGAATTCATGGAAAAAAGGATAAAAAAACTAGAAGCCAATCTGGAGGGCAAAGATGAAGAAGCAAAGAAAAGCCTTCGTACCATGGAACAACAGTTTCAGAAAATGAAGGTAGGTGCAGGTTAGCCATGGAGATGGAGCTGAGATGGACCATGGGGGCAGAGCCTTCTTAGATCTCATTTTAACAAAGAGCTCTGAACATCCTTTCCCACAAACCTTTACCACAGGCATCAATGGGTGCAAAAGAAACCTGGGTTCATCCTACGTGTTGCCCTCTTTCAGCAACTTTTCATTTCACACATAGAATAATCAAGCACAGGATAATCTTTACATCACGCCTCTCAATATTAAAATTAGTGGAAACTAAGTCGTGAAAAAGCAGAGTAAAACACCCCTAATGTGTATTTAGCATAAAATGAAAAAAAGAAATTACCATGGTTAAAAGTATTTTCACTGAAATTTAACTAGATTATGGTGAGAGGATAAGACAGAAGTATACATTCTGGGGGTTGGAATAGGGAACAGGCTCCCAGAAATTTCCTGCTTTCTCAGTTTTCTATTCCTTCGTGAAACAGTAATGAATCAGAATATACAATTTCCAGAACAATTTACTAGGAAACAATGTCCTAAGTGGAGAGAATGTGTTCAATGGGCATCATTCCTACCTGTGACTTTTGTCAGAAGAAGTCAATGATAAGATGAATCAATGTCTCTCTAACCTACAGAGAACAAAGTAAACAGCGGCTAAATCCTCTTGCAATGGATCCAAGTAACAGAAATGTCAGAACAACGAAGATATTTCCATGACACTACTAATGGTTCCTTTCTTTCTGAAATAGTTTTTATTTTTTTTAAAGCAAAAGAATTTTCCAGTCTCATGTTGGGGGGGGGGGGGGTGTTTTTTTTTTAAAGATGACCGATCAGAGGATCTTAATCCTTGGTGTTGTCAGCATCACGCTCTCCCAAGTGAGCCACAGGTCGGCCCCTTAGTTTACTTTTAAGTATCTGTTAAACACCCGGTTTCTGTCAGATCTATGCTAGCTAGATGCTTTCACAAACATCTCAGCTCATCTGTGTAATCCTTCCAATCACTTGTGAGAAGTAGAAATTGTTACCCTGTTTTACAGACAACGGAACTGAGATGTTCAGAATTTAACCCTCTTGCCCAGGGTTCCACAGCTGGTAAAGAGCAGAGCGAGGCCTCAAATCCCAGGCCTCTTGCCCCAAATCCTATGCCACACAGCTTTTAGAATGCTGATTTCACTCCCCCAGATTTCTATCCTGAGAGAATCAATAAATGAAAGAACATTAGATTCCAGAATCAGTAAGAGGTTGACAACCTGGCGATACAGGCCTGGTAGTTAATGTCACACCAAGGAGGTTGGGTTTTCTCTATTCCACCTGCTTTTTCAAATCTCTCAGACCCTGCCTGGTTTACTTTCTTCTCTCCCTGTCCTAAATTCAAGTGCATGTTCCTTTAACTACCCAGTTTTCAACCACCCTTATCATCTTCAGCCTGTGCCCCAGTTCACCCATCTCCTTCTTCCCTCCTCCGCTCATAGTGCTTTGTAAAGTGTCTGAAGGAGACCACACAGTTGTGAGAGTGGGCCATGCAGCTATGTGGGTATCCAATCTCATGAATTCTCTCAGTGCTACTTGGAAGCCTGTACCATGTGGCTGATCAGTTCTCTCTTCCATTTTCCTAAGCATTCACTCCAACCGTTCGTCAAGTTTATCTTGCCCTCTCCGTTAGCCCTACCTACTTTAGCAGACCTTGCCCCGTATATGTAGATGACTGTAGTATAATGGAAAAGGCAAAAGCATTAGAGGCAGAGGCAGACTGGCCTTCAGTGTATGCCCAGTTCCACCATTATAGCCTCATGACTTTGTGCTAGTTACTTAACCTCTCTGAGCCTCAGTTTCCTCATATGTAAAGAAATAATAATTGACTTATTGCCAGTTATTCACTTTTACTCCTAAATATCTTCCAGTTTTGCTGTTTCTTCTCATCAACATGTCACTATACTACAACCATTAATAAAAAATGACCTGGATTACTGCAGTAACCTCCCGACTAGTCAACACATACCCACTTTGCCCCATCTTCTAACTCTGACACTAAAGCCAAGATTATATTTTCATATCTCTCTGTCTTCTACACCCCCCCACACACACACCTAAACCCCCACACCCCTTTGTCAATACCCCTTCTACAACTTCCTTTTGCTCTTAGGATAAATAAATGACATATGTATCCACAGATGGCCAGCCTTTCCTTCCTCTCCAGTGTTTTCTTACATCATTCTTCCTCTGTCTAATCTTACTGGCCTGTTTCTCCTGCTTGCCATGTTTTCTACAGCCACAGAAATTTGTATACTCTGTTGCCTCTGACTAGTAATGCTCTGCCCTCTACTTTCAATAGTTAAGGTGTTCCTGTCCTTCAGATCTCTGCCCAGGCATTGCTTCTGCAGTGAAACCTTCCCTGGACTCCCTGGTAGGTGTAATACCTCTTCAGGCACTCTCAGCCCCATGCATCTCTCCTTCATTGCATCCATCACGATTGTAGCCATTTTGGTTTAGAGGTCTCTCTCCACATCTACATTCTGGACTCCATAATGATTAAGGCTGTTCTGCTTTACACACCGTTGTGTTCCATCATTCAGCAAGGCCTGGCACAGTAGACACTCGATAAATATTTGCCTTAATTAATCCCTAATTCATAGGGTATTGGGAGGATTGACTGTCGGAGTATATGTAAAGCCCTAGTACCATGCCTGGAGTATAGCAAACACTCAGTAAATGATTATAATTATTAATATTCCACCGACCAAATAGAGGCTCTCTCACACTAATTCTAACCCTCTACCCCATTTTTTATGTATGTAAATCTACAATCTACCCACCCTAACTTTCCTTTTTGCAATCCCCTATCACCCCACTCCTGCCCCCCACCCCACTGCCTGCCGCAGTACACATCAAGCATTCCATTGCTCTTTATATATTCTCTTTCTACTTCCAAAACATCCCTGCCTCCACTTATCCCAAATTTACACTCATTCCTCAATACTACTTAAATGTGCTGTCTCTGTGCAATCTGCTGACCTTCCCTCAGGCCTCCAAACACTCAGGACTGCCTCGCCCCCCCTACACCTTCTGCACCATGTTCATAAGCCGGTTATTGCAACTAGCACAGGACACCGTAACTGTTGCCATGTCATTCTCCTCACCAGGCTGTGAGTTATTTGAAAGCAAGAACTGAGTCTCCTTATCTCTAGAACATAATGCCTGGTGCAAAGTCATAGCTTAGTAACTATTTGTTGAATGAATGAGCAAGCACAATTGGTGCTTCCCTCCATGGAATAAACTGTTTATTTCATTTGTGATATTAAAGCTCCAGTATACAACTTCCAAGCTGTCTTACTCCCTATGAGATTAATAAGTTGTTAGAAGGTTGAAAATGTGCTGTTTCTCAAAGACTTCAGTATCCCCAGTTACTTTACCTATTTATCTTCAAAGAGTATGTTTGACAATTTACATGAAGAAAGTATATAATAATAGGCTTAATTGTGAGGTTTAAAATAAGGTCTGGGGTATACAAGAACATGTGTAAGTTAATATTTATGAAGCAACATATCAATTATGGAATTATATAACATATATCAAGAATATATAATTTTATGCCCTTCAAAAAATAAGACTAAAATACATTTGACTCACTCAAGGAACACAGATACTTGGAGACACCAGGATGTATAATGAGTGCCTGAATGAAGGACTAGGTAGGACTCAGTAGAATGCAGGGCTTCAGTAACTAATGAAATGCAAGGAACACAGATACTTGGAGACACCAGGATGTATAATGAGTGCCTGAATGAAGGACTAGGGAGGACTCAGTAGAATGCAGGGCTTCAGTAACTAATGAAATGTTTAGCATGTGTTTGGCATTACATGGATTCTTTTCTTCAGATTCAGTATGAACAGAGACTGGAAGAGCAGGAACAGCTACTTGCCGACAAATTGAAAGAAGCACACCAGCATCATCATGATTCCTCCAGGGTTAAAGCACTAGAGAAGGAACTCAGTGACATTAAGGAAGCCCATCAAATCACTATAAGAAACCTTGAAGCTGAAATAGATGTTCTTAAACATCAGAATGCTGAATTAGAACTCAAGAAAAATGATAAAAATAATAAAGACTTCCAGTCTATAGAATTCCAGGTAGAACAGGCTCATGCTAAAGCTAAGCTGGTAAGACTCAATGAAGAACTGGCTGCAAAAGGGAGAGAAATACAAGACCTCTCGAAAACCGTGGAGAGACTTCAAAAGGAGAGAAGAATGATGTTGTCTAATCAGAACTCTAAGGGCAGAGAGGAAATGTCTGCCAGAAAGGCAAAGAAGGATGTTTTGCACCCAAGTAAAGGGAATGCTAACTCCTCTGGAACCCTGGATGGCAAGCGTTACCAACCACATACTTTCACTGATTCCCATATTTCAGAGGTTTTGCAAGAAAACTGCAGATTGAAAAATGAGCTAGAGGGATTAATTTTGGAGAGGCATGAGCTGAAGATGAAATCGGAAGCAGCAGTAAACCAATTTGAAAATTCCATGAAAAGGTAAAATGTTAAATTATTTATAAACATATGGGGACATAAAAAGATAAAAGTTAAAAAATTATAAGATGTATTTCCTTCAGTTAATTAGTTTGATCCTGAACTGAACTCATAACTGAATTTTAAGAAACTGTGTTACATTGCTCAGCATAGATCTATTTCAGGGTAGGGTCCTCCTAGAGGCCCAGATTCTGATGAACCTGAAACTCCATGTTGGTGCAAACCAGGTTCTTGGGTTGACCAGTATTGTCTTTCTGCAAGTACCCAAATGGTGTTAATAAGCTGACACGTGGCCCTTCTTGCAAAGGAATGCCATCATTTATGGTTGCTATAGGTCACAGATTGCTGCCAGAAAACAGCTGTTATGAAAATTAGTTGACAGTCTAAGAGGAAAAGTTCCTCTTAAAAAATAACTCTTCAAACACGCCTTGTGATCACACCCATTCATGCCTCAAGGAGCTTTTAGATTCATCCCCTTTCCTCAGAATCACCAGCTACTGTCCACCACTGTCTCTTTCCCCTGAGCCTTCTCACATCCTCAGATCTTTCTTTCACCTGATCAAACCAAGTTAGCAGTCCTTTTTCTGTCTTTCAGTGACTTTTCCACAAGTGATCGCTTCTCTTATTTCCACCTCATTTCCTCTTAAGTATGGCTGTCATCATCACCACTCTTTTAAGCTGGTCTCTCAATAATGACCTTGCCCAGTCCACTGGTGCTCTCTCTATCCTCATTTTCTTTGGCAGTGTTGATTATACTGCCTTTTCTGAAATGGCTTTCTCCCTTAACCCCTATGACTTGGCAGCTTTGACTAAAGACTACTTTTGTTTTAGTGACTTCTGACTCCTCCCTCACCCAAAATCTGGCTTTCTACCACCATTCAGTTCTTGGAGGCTGGCCAGTTAGCTCAGTTGGTTAGAGCATGGTGCTTGATGACACCAAAGGCCAGGGTTTGATCCCTGTACCAGCCAGCCACCAAAAAAAAAAATAAAATAAGTTCTTGGTTCTCTGTTTATTCTGTATTTTTCTCAATTGCTAAACTTATCCTTCTATGGCATCTATAAACTGTGACTCCTACACTTACTTTTAAAGGCTTATTCTCTTCCCTGAGTTCAGATGTTAAACTTACAACCGTTTATTGGATTGCTTCTTTTGGAATCAACAAATACTCTTTTTTACCAGTAAACTAGTTCCCCCTCCCAAGTTCCCCAGTCCTATCTATGACCATAAGTATTTCAATTGCCATGCCCAGTTGTACCTTCTTTAGTCCTTGGATTCCCAGGCTATAAGGTGCCTTCTTGTAAATATGTCTCATTTTGCTTTCTTCTTTACTGTAGTAAACCAGGGCAGCCTACCTAGTTCACACTATGATTTTTCCACCCCTATTTCCCTGACTTTTGTTTCTTACCTCCCCAATCATCTTGCTTAAAAAACCTTTAATATTCTTTAAACACCCCTGTAGCTGAGTCACTATGCCCTCCAGTGACTGCCAACTTCCTTAAATATCAAAACTAAATTTCTCATGCCTTTTGCTCATTTGTGTTTCAAATCCTACCTCCACCACAGAACATCTCTTGGAGCTTCCCAGGAAATTGCCTGCTCCCGCCCCCAGCTCCTACACAACTGATAATATGTACCAAGAAAGCATTACTCATACATAGCTGTGTAGCCCCTTGAGAACTGATGTAAGATTATGCTTCTCGTGCATCCCCACAGCCACCTGGAGTAGGAGCAGAATGAGCATAGGAAGCACCTGGCAAGTGCTTGTGCTTGACTCATCCTGGCAACCATACAGCTTCCAAACTGAAACCTCGTTTCTCCAGTTCTGAATATGATAGTAGGATGAAGCTGTTGGTGTAGAATCATATTCTTTCCTATAAGTAATTTAAAATTCAGGTTTTTTCCATAAATTTTTCTGTGCATAATTTAAAATTTTCTAGTATTGTCAGTTTTTCTCAGATAGCTCTGGGCCTGAGAAGTGAGGAGTAAATTTTCTTAGTTCTAGATGTAGGCTGTTTTTTTTATTATAATTCTGTGATATCATAGGTGCTTTAGGTTTTCATGCTTTTCCTAGAACATTAATCACACACTGTTTCCATGGGGAAATATTCATATAGTGAAATAAGCAACTGATAACTTTGCCTGTAGTTTGGGAATTGCCATATTAACAGTAATCAACACTGATTTACCAAAATATGTGCTTTGAGTAAAATCTTTGTCATTTTCAAATAGTTCTTCCAATAAGAAAGAAAATGTTTATTTATAACTTCACCATTTACTAAACTTCATGCTGGCCGGTTTACTCAGGTGGTTAGAGCATGGTGCTGATAACGCCAGGGTTCAGTGTTCAATCCCTGTACCAGCCAGCCGCCAAAGGAAAAAAAAAAAACCCACCATTTACTGAACTGCTTCTGAATGGATAAATTTTGTCACAGTGCTTCTGAATGGATGAATTTTGTCACAGAGACAAATGAATAGTCTTTTACATTGACAGTCTAAACAAATTAGTTGCAGATAACTCTTATGTCCTGAGAATTACTATAAAGACCATTTTATTCTCACAACTTACAGCTATCCCTGGAGTCATATGTATGGACCAAAAATTGATGAATGCTGCCTAGACACAAAGCATTGAAGATTCTAAAGGGAGCAGCTGTGATTATTCAAATATGAATCTGAGCAAGAAATCTGAGTTTATCTTAAAAGATAAAATGTCAGGCACTTTGCTTTAAATTCAAACATATTTTGGAACCTTAGATTCCCTCAGAATGTGCAGCTTCAGGCTAGGGATAGAGTGAAAGGCTCAGACTTAGAAGTCCAACTCTTCTGGGCTTGAACCCTGGCTCTACAACTTACTGATAAGGGACCCTCGATGTATCACTCTTTCCTAAAGTCAAGTTTGCCCTTATAAAGCTCAGTAAATAATAGTGAGCTCATGGAGTTGTTTTAAGAACTCATAGGCATTAATGTGTAAAGTACCTAACATATAATAATTGGTGCCCTCTCTCCCTTTGCTTCTTTAATTTCCAGGCTTCTTACACGATTATTGTGCTATCTATCTCTGAATTAGAGATTGATGAACCACTCTTACGTGTGGTTTTCTTTCATTTGCTCTGTAGGGTCAAGGAAGATACTGCCGCACACATTGCATCTCTCAAAGCATCTCATCAAAGGGAAGTAGAGAAACTCCTTTGCCAAAATGCAGTAGAAAATTCTTCTTCCAAAGTAGCTGAACTGAATCGTAAAATAGCAACTCAAGAGGTAGATGACAAATCTGTTTTGATTTTTCTTTGACTTTAGCAATGTGATTTTTTTTCCCCCAGGACTGTTAGCAGAACCTGATTTCACTTGGAAATGTTTTAACTCAGTTTTTTAGGTTGATGATAGAAATGGGAAATTATTGACTTGATTTTCTTTTTATTGAAGAGGATACCATTGCCATATATTTAACTTTTCTACTTTAAAATTATATCCTGTAAATAAGCGGTTTTTACTATTTTGTCCCTACATTTCTCAAGCAAATCTTCCTCTACATAGGTTGTAACAGATGGTTGAGGTGTACTTCTAATGGGGTTGGGACTACAGTACTTGAATTTGAATGTTGAACCATCTTCCTTCACTGCCAAGTCCCAACTCACAATAATTATCCTCAGGCATTCTTCCTGCACATTACCTTTCATTCATTGAACAAATGATAATTCAGGTCTATAGACAACCAGGCACTGGGGATAAAATAATGGAAAGAGAGATATATAAAGCCCTAGCCCTCATGAAGCATAGTCTTCTAGGAATTATGATGCCGAATTGTAATAACTTATCAGCATTTCTTCAAATAAATGTGTCTTCCTTCTTGAATAATAGGTATATCTTCTTGGAATATCTACTGTGTAGCCCATCCTCCGTGGTGTTAGTAGGTTGAAAAGCAACATTAAAAGAATTTTTTACCTGCAACCTACTTGCAAATGGTGTATCCAAGAAAAGGAAAAATAAAAAAGAATGTAGCAAAATGTTAGTAGCTGGTGAATCAAGTTGAAGAATATATTAAGGTTAATTGTACTCTTCATCTTTTCTGTAGGTTTTAATTTAGAAAACAGGCTTGGGGGAAAACTTTAAGAAATAATTATCTCACCATCATCTCTCCCACCTATAATTATTTAATACCATCTTAATTAAAAACAAATCCCTCAATTGGGGAAGTTTGAATATGGGCTGGCTATTAGATATTAAGAAATTATTGTAAATTTCTTAGGTGTAAAAATGTCATTGTGGTTTTGTGAGACATGCCCTTATAAGGAGTTGCATGTTGAATTATTTGAAATATTTAGGGGGCGAAATGTAATGAGGCCTGTAACTTAATTTCAGATAGCTCAGAAACAAAGGACTGTTAATACTTTGAAAAATATTTAAAGTGCATTTCAAAAGTAAATCCATACAGCCTTGCAGATAACCTCACTGGCTTTTTCTCCCATGGGATGAGGGTGTCAGAGGGTAGTTGTGAGCTTTCTATGAAGTGATTTTGTGGTGAGGGACATCTGGGAGAGGTGGGAAAAGTAGTGTCCTAACGCCATAGTGCCTTACATCTGTTACTTTCCCAGAGTTATGAATGTAATGTGAAATTGAGTTAAATGGAAGTCAGCATAGTACGATCATTAAGACAGTAAAAAGATAATATTGTCTACTTTCTTCTAAATGCTTAGAGTGTTACTTTCCCAGAGTTATGAATGTAATGTGAAATTGAGTTAAATGGAAGTCAGCATAGTATGATCATTAAGACAGTAAAAAGATAATATTGTCTACTTTCTTCTAAATGCTTAGACTTTATTTTAAAAGGTATTTTTCAGTCATGAGTTGACTTTCTTATATTTTTCAAATAGTGTTCAAGGAGAAGCTTTATTAACTCAGTACTTCTAACAATTTCCTAGGTACTTATAACACATTTCCAAAGTCAAGTTAATGAACTGCAGAGTAAACAAGAGTTTCTTGCACTTTCTCAAGTTCGAGAAGAAATCCTACAGAAAGAGGTAAGAAGTAACCAAAATATTGGGCTAAAATAAGTTTCTTAGGCATTTCAATTATTCTTATTTCTATGTAAACTTAAATGTACAAATAGACATAAGTATCTATTACATGTCAAGGAAATATTCGTAACTTGCTTAAGTCTGCTTTCCCCAGATGAAGTTCAAATATTAAGTCATTATGTCGTTTATATGTTTTTATTTGCCATGGAGATTGTGTGGGCAGTGGGGAAATGGGATGGGAGATGTTTGGTTCTTTTGATTTTTTTAGGGGGTAAAATTCAATAGTTAAGGTCATTTCTGTGGTGTCAGGAAAAAAAAATAAGTTTTTCTACAACCCTTATGAGTTTAGTTGAGACGGACCCCATAACAAAAGAAAGATGAAAGAAGAGAAAAACAAGTTTCTTAACATGTGCAACACACAACACTGGAGAAATAATGCGAAGTAATTCAAAGCAGGGGCTCAGAACTCTCCAAAGTTGTGGGATAAGAGATTGGCAAAGGGAGAGAAAAGTGTAGATTAGAAGAAGCAGAAAACAAATTTAAGTACATTGTCCCTTATTTCTGAGAATAGGTCAGTTCAGTTAAACAGTTGTGTCTCATTTCAGGAGGTGTTTCTGGTGGGCTCCCATCAAAGTTAAGCAGCTACATGGTGATTTAATAAGAGGCATCCCTATGGAAACAAAAGAAAACAGGGTAATGGGTGGAGCAGTTTATAAACTAGTTTGAGTCTGGAGGACAGCCAGTCAAGAAGACTTCTAAGTGTTGGGCCCAAAGCATCTTTTGCAAGTATGAATGTCTCCAGTGTTGTCTGAGTGGCCCACACAGCAACAGGCATGAAGGTTGTCCATGTGAGTTGTAGTGATTGCCGTTTATATCAAGTCGTTCAGCTTCAGCTTGTTTTGGGGCTTCAGGAAAAGGGCAGTTTTAATTTTTAGTGATTCCCAGACAGAAGGGTGGGAGAAAAAAAATGAAAACATTAGTTTGGAAAATTATAGTTAGATATTGGAGGAAATTAGAATTCTGGACCCAGGCCAAATTACAGGTAAATAATAAAAACTCAAAGACAATGAACAGCACTGACATCCACACGTGTTATAGTTTTCTACTGAGACACAGTTTCATTCTCTCTAGTCACCCCCATTTCTATCAAAGATAATCATGATAAAATCAGTTTGCAAAAATAAGTCCAGTCTCATTAAACTTGGTTTGATTATTTACCTAAGTACAGAAAGAAATAATGATTGACCATATAGGCTCTTTAAGTCTGCTTTTCTGGAATTTTTTTTTTTGGTGGCTGGCTGGTACAGGGATCTGAATCCCTTACCCTTAGTGTTATCAGTACCACGTTCTAACCAAGTGAGCTACTTTGCTGGAACTTTTAACGAAGAATCTCAGATTGGACCTTTAAAAGCCTCTCCAGTCTAGAAAGCCAAGAACTTGCCATCAGATTTTTGCCTGCCATACCTAGAGATTGTGGTGAAATCCTCTTTTTTCCAGGTCCCCAAAATATCCTGAGGTTTTGGACCTGCCAGGAAGCAACATTACTTACTCATTTATAGGAGAACCATGTATATGAGGTACAAAGCCATGAAAATAAGAATACTCAGTTTCTGAAGGGATAGGTAGAAAAAGAAATGTTTCAGTTCTGTTTATAAAAGTGTGATTAACCAAAATGCTATAAGCTACAGATAGCTTTAAGAAAAAAGACAAAAAGTTTTCTTAAATCTGGAAAACAAAACATTAAAGAACCAGCAGTGTTCCAAACAAAAAGGCCAAAACAACAACAAAAAAGCAGCAAGAATAGTGTTTGTGAAAATAGTATTTCAGGTCTCCTACAAAATGTGAGACACCGCCTGTCACAGACCTGCTAATCTGTGACACCAAGCAGGCGTTACTGGAATGGGACTTTTCCAACACTAACCAAGCAACAAAGATTGAGATGCCAAAGTCCCCTTAGGGACCAGGACCTCTGAGAGCTGGCACAGCCAAACAAAAAGCACGCTGCTTGTCACGTATGTCTCCCGTTGCCACCCTATCCAACTGGCTGACAGAAGCCAACACTTACCCCCCAGCTGGCAAAGACCAGAGATAGTGTTCTCACTGGGCACAGAAGCCAAGCTCTCAGGACATAAGGCAAAAGGAGAACCTTTTTTTTTTCCTTATTGGGGACATACGACAAAGTTTGTCTAAACAGTGGTCTAGTGAGAACTGAACTCACCAGTCTGTGAGGCTGACTCAAACAGTGTTATAAGACCTGTGCCTGTGTTCTACCCTGTGATTCTCCTTGTGACAAATGACACAAAAGACAAAGGAAAGCAATGGTCATCTCTGACAGGCTAAAGATCAGTAACCAGTAGATACCCAAAACCAAATCCGTTAAGTGTCACAAATTCAAAGAACTAATTTTTACAGTTTTTTTTTCTTCTGCCAATCTGAATTTAGAAAGGAAGGGATAAGGAAAAATTTTACGTTCTTTCTTAACCAGGTACAGACAAATAGATCTAGGAAAGCCGACTTTGGTAAAGGACTTAAATCTTTATTCAGATTCCCTAGAGACAACTGGGAGGGTTAATGCTGTTACTGCTTCCCCCGCCCCCCCCATGTTCTGAAGTTAGTATGTGCATTTTACTGGTGATTAGTGGGATTTTGTTTTGTTTTTAACCCATATAGATATCTTATAAAACTTTCAGAAACTGTTCAAGACTGACTTCTAATAGGAGCCCAGGGACTATTGTGGCCCACTCATAAAATTATCAAAATTATTATAATATCTCAAATATTCTACACCTAGCTACTGTTATTTCATGAACAAATAGAATGATCATAGGGTTTATAATAAGATCTAGGTTTAAATTCTTGACTTGCCACTATAACAGTTACTAGCAGGTTCAGGTAAACATTTAGAATCACACAGCCACCATAGGCCACACTTGGTATGCTGGAAGCAGGGCAGGAAACAGCATGCCAGTGGGGCGTTTCTCTTCAGTGTGAGTAGTGCTCATAGCAGTTTACACAGCTGTGCAGGGGCTGTCCAGGTGATGGCACTGATGCAGGGCAATAAGACTCACACCTGGCAGGTGGAGGAACCACCTGGCTTAGCTGCCCCATGCTCCACAAAAACCAATATCTCTTATCCTAACCCACACACAATTGTCCCATGAAGGACATGCCCAGTTACAAGAGTCACCGCACTCAGGAGTCCCCAAACTGTGGCTTCCTATGAAGTATTTCAGTTCATACAAAGTCCTCCAAGCCTAGGTGATTCCACCAAGCAGTGTGCCTGGTACACAGCTGGTGGCCATCTCTATCAGCAGAGGTGGAAATTTAACTGAACCCACAGTCAGTTTCTCATGCAGATAGGAGGAATTACGTTTATCTTTTACCCAGAGCCACTTGCAGGTGTCTTTAAACTCTCTCAGCCTCATTTTTTCAGGTTTCAAATGTGATAAGACCTACTTCCAGCATTCTTCATTTGTTCATTTAATAAATAGTAAGCACATNCTTGTCACGTATGTCTCCCGTTGCCACCCTATCCAACTGGCTGACAGAAGCCAACACTTACCCCCCAGCTGGCAAAGACCAGAGATAGTGTTCTCACTGGGCACAGAAGCCAAGCTCTCAGGACATAAGGCAAAAGGAGAACCTTTTTTTTTTCCTTATTGGGGACATACGACAAAGTTTGTCTAAACAGTGGTCTAGTGAGAACTGAACTCACCAGTCTGTGAGGCTGACTCAAACAGTGTTATAAGACCTGTGCCTGTGTTCTACCCTGTGATTCTCCTTGTGACAAATGACACAAAAGACAAAGGAAAGCAATGGTCATCTCTGACAGGCTAAAGATCAGTAACCAGTAGATACCCAAAACCAAATCCGTTAAGTGTCACAAATTCAAAGAACTAATTTTTACAGTTTTTTTTTCTTCTGCCAATCTGAATTTAGAAAGGAAGGGATAAGGAAAAATTTTACGTTCTTTCTTAACCAGGTACAGACAAATAGATCTAGGAAAGCCGACTTTGGTAAAGGACTTAAATCTTTATTCAGATTCCCTAGAGACAACTGGGAGGGTTAATGCTGTTACTGCTTCCCCCGCCCCCCCCATGTTCTGAAGTTAGTATGTGCATTTTACTGGTGATTAGTGGGATTTTGTTTTGTTTTTAACCCATATAGATATCTTATAAAACTTTCAGAAACTGTTCAAGACTGACTTCTAATAGGAGCCCAGGGACTATTGTGGCCCACTCATAAAATTATCAAAATTATTATAATATCTCAAATATTCTACACCTAGCTACTGTTATTTCATGAACAAATAGAATGATCATAGGGTTTATAATAAGATCTAGGTTTAAATTCTTGACTTGCCACTATAACAGTTACTAGCAGGTTCAGGTAAACATTTAGAATCACACAGCCACCATAGGCCACACTTGGTATGCTGGAAGCAGGGCAAGAAACAGCATGCCAGTAAGGCTGCATGAGGCGTTTCTCTTCAGTGTGAGTAGTGCTCACAGGTAAACATTTAGAATCACACAGCCACCATAGGCCACACTTGGTATGCTGGAAGCAGGGCAGGAAACAGCATGCCAGTGGGGCGTTTCTCTTCAGTGTGAGTAGTGCTCATAGCAGTTTACACAGCTGTGCAGGGGCTGTCCAGGTGATGGCACTGATGCAGGGCAATAAGACTCACACCTGGCAGGTGGAGGAACCACCTGGCTTAGCTGCCCCATGCTCCACAAAAACCAATATCTCTTATCCTAACCCACACACAATTGTCCCATGAAGGACATGCCCAGTTACAAGAGTCACCGCACTCAGGAGTCCCCAAACTGTGGCTTCCTATGAAGTATTTCAGTTCATACAAAGTCCTCCAAGCCTAGGTGATTCCACCAAGCAGTGTGCCTGGTACACAGCTGGTGGCCATCTCTATCAGCAGAGGTGGAAATTTAACTGAACCCACAGTCAGTTTCTCATGCAGATAGGAGGAATTACGTTTATCTTTTACCCAGAGCCACTTGCAGGTGTCTTTAAACTCTCTCAGCCTCATTTTTTCAGCTGTCAAATGTGATAAGACCTACTTCCAGCATTCTTCATTTGTTCATTTAATAAATAGTAAGCACATGTCAGTCGCTGTTATAGGCTTTTGGAATATTTTAATGAATAAAACACCTGAAGTCTTTGTCTTCCAGGAGCTTACATTCTAGCCTGTGGGACAGAAAAATAATTCAAATGGATACATGGACTATAATGTCCCCTATCTAACTATCTTTGCATCAGAACTGGGTCACACACCCACCCCTAAACCAGTCACTGCCAGGGGAAATTGAACAGCTCTAGTGGGCTTAAACTGACCAAAATTTACACCAGTCACACAAATATCTGAATAAATATCAGGCCCTTGCCAGCAAAGAAGGAAGGGTTAGCTATTCTTAAGGCAGTGCCCAGTATCTCTTTCAGTGCTATCCCGATTAAAATCTAAACCCTCTGGATTAAGTGTACACAATCACTAGCCATTTCTCCAGCAAAGGGGCCAGGAAAACTCATTGTGCCAATAGTTACAAAACAGGAAAGGCACATGAGATTGAAAAGTACACGGATACAAGCAGACCAGGCTCGTTTAAAGTAGTAAATATAGCAGTAATTTTGTGGTTCAGTTTGAATTGAAATATATAGTTTGTAAGATTATCTACTCACCTGTAAATAAGAGAACACAGTACAAATATCTCCTCTGGGAAGTGGTCTCTGGGCTGCACACAGATTGTCTGAACTCCCCCACCTGAGCCACCTTCTGCGTACAGTCAGTGATACCTGTCTCTTCCAGTGGAAAAGCATGTTTCGCCCACCTTAGTGACATGATCTGGGTGACTCACTATTCCTCTTCAGTTAAATAAGCTATTAGGAAGATAACAGTTTTATTCATTAAGGAATATATGCTTTCATACTTATTGGTGTTATTCATTTCTGTCCCTATTGAGCATGGATTCAATATTCATATTGAAATATTCACTTTTGTTTTATACTAATACATATTGATTCGTATTAGAAGGTATAAAAATCACATGTAATCCCAGAGGTATGTTTTGCTATATATGCTTCCATGTTTTTTCTCTTTATACATATAGAGATACAAATAGTGTGGTGATGTGTTTACGTGTGCACAGTTGCAAATACACGTTTGTTCATATATGTATGCACGTGATTTTTAAAGCTTTTTTTTTAACAATTATACATATAGAGATACAAATAGTGTGGTGATGTGTTTACGTGTGCACAGTTGCAAATACATGTTTGTTCATATATGTATGCACGTGATTTTTAAAGCTTTTTTTTTAACAGTACATATAAATATCTTTACATCAGTCTTTATTAGCACTTTCGTTATACCATTTTATAATAGAAGAGTTATAATAGTAATAATTGGTGTTTAGTCTGTACCTGGCACTGTTCACCATGCTTTACATGCATTCTTTTGAATCTCACCACAACCCCAAAGTGTAGGTACTATTATTATTCCCATTTTCTAAATGAACAAATTGATGCTAAGAAAAATGAAATAACTTGCCCAAGGTTACCAATCACCATGTATAAAGTGCTAGCATTAGAACCTAAGGCCTCTGATTTCTGGTCTCAGGTTCTTAATTACTATTTTTTATCACCAGTCCCCTATTGTTGGCACACATGTTGTTTCCAGTTTTTTTTTTCCACAGTATGCATGTAGGAGGAAGCATTTTACTCATGCATCTTTGTTTATGTATCCAGTTATCTCCATAGGATAATTCATCAAAATGCAAGAATTTAATATATATACTTACTTTAATTATATTCTTAAAGTTGCTTTTAGTAGGTACAAAGAAAATTTCCTCTATTCTTTGTCTAGAACCAGATTTCTAAATTTATGCAATTTACCAGCAAATGTTTCTGTAATCACAGAAAGGTGAGTTAATTAACTCATGAACAATTGTTAAACACCTACTGTCTGCTGTGCACAGCTCTGGGTGCTAGGAATACTGAAGAGAACGAAGTAAACAAAAATCCCTGCTCTTGTAGAGTTTACACTTTATGTGGGGAGTCAGACAATAAACAAATACAAGGTTTAATAAGTAAAATTAACTGAGACGACATCTGTTAAGTGCTTAGCATAGTGCCTCACACATAAAAATATTGTGACTCACTACTCTTTGTCCTTTAAGACTCAATTGAAACACAGCTGCCTTGGGAATCCCGCAGCCCACTTACCACCTTACTGCTCCTTGGCCATCTGTCTGTCATAGCACCTCATATTAGAATTCTCATTCACTTGACTGCTTCTTTCACAAGATTAGAACTCCCCAGCTACTGTACCAGGAATGGGTTACAGGTGAATCACAAGATAGCAATGGCTGGAAATGTTATATAATGACAGATTCAAAATAATTTTTCAACCATTAAAAAGTTTACAGAAATTGAAATGTTTGACCATTCTGTGTATGACTGTGCTTCTGTAAACTTTCTTAGCTCAGTAACCTTTTTTTGTTTTTTAAAATAATTTTTAGTAATCATTTTAATGTGTAAGATTTCTGTGCCCAGCACCCATATTATTCCCACGTGCTATAAAAATATCACCATTTTCTCTCTGGGCCGTGGTATGAAAACAGAGGTATTATACTAGACTGTGTCTTTCATCTCTGCATCCCTACATCCTAAGACAGCAGCCAACACAGAAAGAGCTCATTTCTTCATTATATCTACTTTGTATGCATACATTTGTTTGTGGAATGAATTACTAAAAATTACGAAGTGATAGGGCCATAGAGAATTACAAACAGAATTACAGGGAGTTGACAAAAGAATTTATTAAATTCTTTCTGTGCATTGGGCACTATACTATGTTGGGTGCTTTAAGTGTAATTTTTTTTTTTATTCCTATGAGTAATTAATACCTTGTAGCAAAGCTGGATGCATCAAAGAAAGTGCCCAACTTAATTTTGAGCTCCACAACCAGATTTGGCATGCATGGGAGGGAGGAGGTGGTCCAGTCATCTGGAACCTCTTAGAGTGTGAGGTCACCTCGGAGCTAGGATGAACCTTTACTCCCTGGACATAGAGTAATTAATAGCTTTCATTCCCTAACAATTCAAAATGCCTATTATAGAGAAATTTTATACAAATGTTGATTTAAGATTACCCTGTTAAAAAACATAATTTCTCTCTGATCATAGTTTTTTTATTTTATACTTCAATTTTAGATTACAAAACTCTTAGAAGAATTGAGAGAAGCCAAAGAAAATCATACACCAGAAATGAAACATTTCCTGAGCTTAGAAAAGAAAATTAAACAGATGGAAATGAGACATGAGCAAAGGGAGCAGGAACTTCAACAGGTAAAGTTCTTTACTTTTAAGTGCTTTAATTTGCTATAGTTTTGTCATCCCTAGCAAAAGTTACTTCTTAAAATGTTTCCATTGTATGTTGATCTTGTTAATAAATTTATGGCTTTTAAGAGAAAATAAGACTTTAAATCTCAAATACTTGAAGACTGGTTTGCCTTATATCTGGAGAAAAAAAAACGTGTATAATGTACTTAATTACTAGTGGGTTCTTAAAAAGTCATACATCTTAGGAGCAGGGCTTTGGGAACAAGGTTTCATATTCAAGTCATTCCATGTTTATAAGAAATAAACTTATATTAAAATATCATTTAAAATATTATATAGGTAGCACTAGTAATATCACGATTACTATACTTAATTACAGTTATACAAATTAAAAATAACAGATGTAAGGACACAATATGCTTTTAGGCACTTGCCTCAGTGCAGATATTTAGCTTTGCTTGAACAGTGTATTAGTTTGCTAATGCTTCCATAACAAAATATCATAGATTGGGTGGCTGAAACAACAGAAATTTTCTCACAGTTCTCAAGGCCAGAAATCCAAGATTGAGGTTCTAGTCAATTTGGTTTCTGGTGAGGGCTGTCTTCCTTGCTTGCAGACAGCCTCCTTCTCTCTCTGTCCTCACATGGCCTTTCTTCAGTGCATGTGCACAGAGGAGAGAGAGAAAAGGCAAGAGATCTCTTCTTACAAGGACACTAATCCTATCAGATCAGGGCCCCACCCTTATGACCTCATTTAACCTCTTTGTATTTTCTTACTCCAAATACAGCCTCACTGAGAGTTATGGTTTCAACATCTGAAGGGAGGCAGGGAGGAGGGGGGACACAAAGATTCAGTCCATAACACAGTGTGAATTTATATATTCTCTGAAGAAAATACTACATACATGCAGAGCTTTATGGTTGACACATATTCCCACAGAAACCCTGGATTTGACTATTTGGCATTGTCTCACTTTAGCTGTTTGAAATTATTAAACGTTCTTCACTCCCACTACAAACTGTAACAGGAATGTGGAATTTTTGTATTTGCAGATAATACAGCAGACACGCCAAGTAGTAGAAACTGAGCAAAACAAAGAAATTGAGAAATGGAAAAGACTCGCACAGTTAAAGAATCGTGAGCTGGACAAATTCCGCACAGAATTAGACTCGATATTAGATGTTCTCCGAGAGCTGCACCGGCAGGGAGTGGTTGTGCCAGTTACTTTTGCAGATGAAGTGAATGCACCAGAGTATTACTAGAAACTCAGATTTCATATGACTTCATTGAGAGGCCTGAAGATGGATGGGATTGTACCTCTGTCAGAAGGACAGCTTTTGACAAACAAATCCAGCAAGTATTACTAGAAACTCAGATTTCATATGACTTCATTGAGAGGCCTGAAGATGGATGGGATTATACCTCTGTCAGAAGGACAGCTTTTGACAAACAAATCCAGCGCGTGGCCAGAAAGAAAACACCAGAGCAACATTTTAAAATAAATTACCCTTAACCAATAAGGAAAAAAGAAAAATCATGGTGTATTTTACTGAAAATTATTAACCAGTCACATTTCAATGACTTACAACAGACAGACAGGCTCCTTTAGGTCAGATGATTATAACTAGCAAGATTTAAAAGGTCTGACTTTTTGAAAATGAAATTGCACATATTCTGCCACATTATTATCAAGCAAGTGTGTATTCTTAATTTTCTTTGTGATAGAAAAACAGCTCCTCTTTCTCATGGAAACAGGTAGAGGAATGTGAGTGTACTGGAGGGACAGAATCGTCAACTGTAGATCTTCCGTGGTGACTTAGAAAATTGTAACTTCTGTACAAGTAGACAGTGAATTCTCTTGTGTTCTCCCAGTAAGTGGCTTTTTCGGCACCTGACATGGTGAAAAATGCATTTCACAAGTAATAGGGGAAATTTGATTTATCCATTGTTTTAATCTTTTTAGCTGCATCTCTTAAATGCCAGTCCTACTTTTTTGACACTCTAAAACTAAACAGCATATAACATTTTTACTTTCATTTAAAAAGTAATGACTGGGGCCGACCCGGTGGCGCACTGGAGAGTGCGCCGCCTGGGAGCGCGGCGGCGCTCCTGCCGAGGGTTCAGATCCCATGTAGAGACGGGTTCCCGCTCACTGGTTGAGCGCGGTGCGGGCGCAACACCGAGGGTTGCGATCCC